ATACCAGGGCATTGCCATACTCTGACGAGGAAGACCAGTTCTGCTAGGGGCCTCCCCACCTCAATTTATGTAATCCCTCCACCAGTTTATCTCAAGTCCTCGCTCATTTATCTTGACCTTTACTAGTCTGGCTTCACCCGTCCACTGGCAGTGAACTCCTCACCTTGTTCCCCAACTGGGTGACCCTGTGGTCACTTGGGCCTCTCATCCTTTTCCTTTTCTGGGTCAGATTTTAAGGTGCTTTCTCCCAGGCACTCGCTCTGTGTTTTGGATGACTAGCCTCATCCCATTCCCGAGCAGATGGCTCTCAGAGTTCAGCCCTGAATGGACATTTACCAACTTGTGGAACAAGGTGCAGAGACACAGGTACTCTCTGCCATCTCAGGGGCTCCCAGGAGCCAAGAACATTTACACTTGAACTTGCAATGTGTCAGGAAGGGGAAGTTCAAGAGTTGAGCTCTTTCTCAGGTCACTCAGCCCTGTTTCCACAAATCTAATTTATCTTCTCTAGATCTCAAGCCATGATTATTCTTTCACATGTGGTTCCACTTTCATAATTCAGATATCCTGTGTTACATCTTTTCCTGGGCTAACCAAACGAACCTGCGTATGAATTTGCTCACGTACTCCTGTCCCTGCCCCTGCCCTCACTCCTTGTTTGGTCTGTCTTCCCTAGTCAGAATCCAATTGAATGGGCTACCCCTCAGCCCTGTCTCACAAAACCACTCTAGAATCCCTAGACACATGAGTACCTAAAAAGAAAGTGGGGCCACGTGTTCAACTGTGCCCAGAGGGCTGGGATCCTGACGCAGCCCGTCACTGTGTGCAGGCAGGGCCTCTGACTCTGTCTCCCAGTGTCCCGTCCCCTGACTCTGCATCACCTCTGCCTTTTCGCCACCCCGGCTCTACTTAAACCACGTCGATCCGAGATGACTCCAGTGTCCTTGGAAGCCATTTGACGCAAACACATAAATACACGACAGGTCATGCTTCGTGGTTCCACAGGAACTGTGTCTTGTCTGGGCCCATGTCATATGGCCCAGAACCAACAGAGGCTACGTTCTCATCCCCACGAACCAGGACGCTTGACGCTGCCACCCCCTAGATTCCCCCCCTCAGAATCCCAGCATCTTATTTTCCTTTTACTCCATTGTCAATCTGAGCTCTCCTCCAGGACCCAGACTTTCTTCCAGTCACCATTTCTCCCCAGCACAGGTACACTTCCCGTATAAACAGCAGAATGGGGGGAGAAACCCCTCTCTTCTACATTGAATTGTATCATTCTACCTTTATGTTCTCCTTGAATGTTCCTAACAATCTGGATTTGGTTAAGAAAGATGAGGAATGGGGAGAGGGACCACTCTCCTTTACCCCAGGGGCCTGGAAAGGTTCTCTGCCCCACTTTGCCCATGTGACTATATGTATATGGACATACACACATAGTCCATATACACGTACATGCCATGTGTTTGTCTGGCGCATATGCCAATCCACTGGGTTACTTTGAGGGTCTCAGGCCTCATCTGAACTCCTTTTCCTGTTGGCAGGTAGTGCATGCCTGGTCTGTTCCCTCCCAGTCATGACCTTACGTTGACTACAAGCCCAGAGTTGGAAGAAGAGCTCGTGGGAAGGAAGGCGAGGTGGTGGTAGTGGGGTTTCTGGACTATGAGTCTTTTTTTTTTTGCTTTGCAGAAAGAGCTGGATTTATGCTCTTTTCCCTCCTTTGAGGAATTTTCCCACAAGTGTACGAAAAGACACGTGCAAGGATGTTCGAGGAGGCATTGTTAATGCTGGTAGAAAATCTTCAAGTCCACACATCATTTCACTCTTCCCCGCCTTCCTCTTATCACTCTGCACCCTGCCCCTGTAGCAGGGCTTCCTCATGGGGGTGATTTTGTAAATGCTAGAGTTGGGCTCTTAGTAGACTTCCCGCAAGCCATCGGTTCTCCAGCTAAGTGGGGATGGGGGCATATAGCCTCTGCCAAGTGAGCTGGTGACGATCTCAGAGGGACATTATGCAAGTAGGATGGAGTGGGTGGCTTGAAAGTACATGTTTAACATAATTTTACATTTGCCAAACGATAATACGCTGCACAGTGCCCCAGGAATTATTTATTTTATCAGCAGGTGCAACAGTAGTTGCATTGAGCTAGATTATATGAACTGGATGTTATCAAGTACTCTAACTGCAGAATAGGGGCTTTCACTGTGGCTTTGCAAACCTCCCACGCATAAAGCACACTAAGGATGTTCGTAAATTTTACCCTGATGGACTTTCCTTAATCGTTTTTTTTTAAGGACACTTTTTTTACGATTTTTTTTGATGTGGACCCTTTTTAAAGTCTTTATTGAATTTGTTACAATATTGCTTCTGTTTTATGGGGGGTTTGTTTTGTTGTTTTTTTTGGCCACGAGGCATGTGGAATCTTAGCTCCACGACCAGGGATTGAACCTGCACCCCCTGCATTGGAAGGTGAAGTCTTAACCACTGGACCACCAGGGAAGTCCCCTTTCTGTAATCCTTTAACCCCTTTCTTTAACCTTTGCTGACAAAAAATCAAAGGTACAGTTTTTTTCAGGATGACACTGGCAAGTATAATTAGTCTTGAGCCTTCCCCTTCCTCCAGTTAATATAACTTCTAAGATCAGAAATTCTATCTATGTTTTAGAGCAGCATATCACCACCTAAATGAAGGTGACGTAATCCTGTCCCATAAAACAAAAACTCCAGTGCAAAAAATCTTTAGAACAAGATTCTTGACTAGCATAAAGTGATGAACATGTTGGCCTGTGCAGAGCAATTATATATTATTTATCTAAACCAGTTTTGGTACTTTCTATCTTGTGATAGAATTGTTCTGGTTTTTACATCTCACTTAATACATCAAAAAGCTTTGCATTTCACCAGGCAGACTTTAAACTCACGTCTACGAACGTTTAAGTGGCATTAAACTTTAACTATGAAATTTTGAATCATTAGATGCTTAAACACCAAGTAGCATGATGTGTTATGTATGTGCAATTGCATTCATCAGAACAAGCATGTTCGTCATCTTACTGGACCGACAGTTCTCAAACTTGTTGACCTCAGGACCCTTTCATACTCTTAGAAATTACTGAGGACCCCAAAGAGATTTTTTACATTTTTATAGATTTTAGATGTTGACATTTACGAAAGCTATTGACATTTACCATATTAGAAATTAAGACTTTTATTTTTAAAATATGTATTAATTTATTTAAAAATAATAATCATAAGACCATTATATGTTAGTATAAATAACATATCTCCATGAAAATAACTTTGTTTTCCAAAAAACAAACTACTGAGAAGAGTGGCATGGTTTTACATTTTTGCAGATCTCTTTAATGTCTAGCTTAATGGAAGGCAGCTGTTTTCTCATCTCTGTTCTTCATTCAGTCCATTGTGATATCATGTCAGGTAGTCTCTGAAAAACTCCATTGTACATTCATTTGTGAGAGAATGAGATTTAAAAAAAAAAGGAATTAGTATCTTAATATCATTATGAAAATAGTTTTGATCCCACAGATCACTGAAACGGTCTCTAGGCCCCCCAAGGGGTCTCCAGACCACATTTTGAGAGCTGCTCTACTAGATTCACATAGTTAGATGCCATCTGGATTGGTTTTTCCTCAATTTGTGCTATTTAAAGGGAAGAAGGAAGAAAGGGAGGAACCAACTAAGGCACTTCTTATATATATATATATATATTTTTTTTTTTTTTTTTTTTGTTACGCGGGCCTTTCCCCGTTTTGGTCTTTCCCTTTCCGGGGGACGGGCTCCGGCCGCGCAGGCTCAGCGGCCATGGCTCACGGGCCCAGCCGCTCCGCGGCATGTGGGATCTTCCCGGACCGGGGCACGAACCCGTGTCCCCTGCATCGGCAGGTGGACTCTCAACCACTGCGCCACCAGGAAAGCCCGCCCCATAGATTTTATTTAACCAGACTCTTTGCTGATGGACATAGGTTGTTCCTAGTCTTTTATTATCACAGAAAAAACAAAAAACACTGTGATGAATATACTTCTTTGGACACATGAAAAAGTATACCCATATAATAAACTCATGAATGTCAACTCATTGGATCAGATGGTATTGGATTTTTAATTTTGAGAGATGTCAGTAAGTTGCACCCCCCAGAGAAGTGTCCCAAGTGACGGGGGGAGAGAGAGGTGTAGGAGATGAGGTCAGAGAGTGGTGGTGCAGGAAGCCAACACAGTTGAACTTGGAGGCTACTGTAAGGACTAGCGCTTTGATGAGTAAGATGGGGAGACTGTGGGATTTTGAGTAGAGGAGGGACAGACCTACTCATGTTTTAAAATGATCATTCTGGCTACCGTGTGGAAAGCATACTGAAGGGGACAACAGAAGCAAAGGGGCCAGACAGGAGATAATGAAGGAACACAGGTGAGAGATGGTGATGACAGCCTGACTGGGGGGGTACAGTAAATGCAGTGAGAAGTGGTTGGATTTGGGACACATTTTGAAGATAGGGTGGAAAGGACTTGCTGATGGAGTAGTCAAAGCCTGAGAGATATATCTGAAGAGTCAAAGGTATCTCTCGGGATTGGGGCCTGAGCAACCGGAATGATGGGTGGCAAGGTCTAGGCAACCTGGGGTCCCACTCCTGAGGTGCTGGAAGTGAGGGCCTGGGCAGGCACCAGCTGGGCAGGTGGAGGCGTCTGGGGAAACTCAATTTCCTTACAGATGAGGTTTCCTGATCTTAGACTGTTCTTGTGGTTTCAAAGGAGTTCCATTGAACTGCAGTGAGCTAAGCTGTCCTGGGGCCCATCTTGAACGAAAGCAGTGACTAACTCTAGCCCAGTTCCCCGGTTGGGCCCACGTTCCTCATTTCTCTTTGCTTGCCCTGTTGGTACGTGCTGGGCTGCACACTTCTGTTCCCTATCATCTTAAAACGTTCCCCAGTCACTCCATTTTTAGCATCCCCTCATCTGACTGTCACCCCACCTGTTGTCGCAGGTTGTTGAGGAGGACAGTGGTGGCTCTGTGTTGTCAAGGTGTCAGGAGGGCTCTGAACCGGAAGGGAGCTGTCAGATTCTGACTGGCTGCAGAAGTTTATCGGGACATATCAAAGCCCCGGAGAGGAAGGTAAGATCAACAGATGAGACACCGTCATCCAAGGCCAAACAGCTCCAGATGACGCGACACTCTCAGGCTCACCCCTGCGTCCTCTTACAAAGGCCAGAGAACAAGCAGCCCGCCCTGTCTTCCAGGCTCAGCCACACTGGCCCCTGACACAGCGAGCTTGTTCCCATCGCAGGTCTTTGGTACTTGCTGTCCCCTCTAGCTGGAATGCTCTCCACACGGCTGGTTCCTTCTCACTGGTTCAAATATCCCTCCTCAGCCCAAGCCTGTCCTGACAGGCTTACCTAAAGAAAACCCTAGGCCAGACTCTCTCTCTAGGTTTCCTTGTTTGTTTCCTTCCTTTACTTGAAATCCCCTGGTTTGTGTGTTGACCTGTTTAACTCTGTGTCTTGTTCACTCATGTCCCCAGCACCAGTGCACAGGGTAAGGCCTCAGGACCTTTGATGACTGGGAAGAGGAACTCTGGTGAAAGGTATGGCATCGTGGAGAGGAAGCTCACATGCATACATTTGTGGGAATCACTCTGAGGTATACTTGGTTGAGCTGGACTTGAGATGCTACACTGCCCACTCCCACAATGCAGCTGTGTGCGGTCACTGAAGCTTTGTGATTCTGTAAAACAACTTGGTCTGAATTCCCCTAAGACTCCAGCACCAGTGATGTCCCAATACTGGTGACTTGGGCCACAGAATGGAGATAAAAGAGAGAAGGCAAAAAGCACAGGTTCTGACCTATTCTTTGCTTGTACCATCAGCTAAGAAGCTCTTACAGGCACATCCAACCTCCATCCTTTCGCTCCACAAGTATTTGAGTGCCTATTATATGCAAGGGACTATGCTAGGTTTTTTCCTAAGGACGGACTTCAAAATAGTCATTTCCAGAAGAGGCAATCTTACCTAGACTCAATACTAACATCCCATGAGAAGGGGTGGGGTCACCCCAGGAGGCACTGCCCTTTTCTAAGCTGAAAGGGGGGGGTTCCCGAGAGATTCCTGACCTGGGAATCAGCTGTGCATGGCGGGGGATGCGGATGGAGAAAAGAGGCCCCTCCCTTAGCATTTTAAGATAATGAGAGCAACCCTATCTGGCAATCTCGACCTTTCCAGTAAGTTTCTGTTGCCAATCAAATGCAGATAGTAAAACGGCACAAATTACTTTGGTAGAGAACTATGTTGCCTTCGTCTCCTGTGTATCATACTGAAATGTACACACATATCATGCATGGCCTAATAATAAGTGTACTGGTCAGATGAATTACCACAGTGAACACATTCATTTAAATAAATTTTAAAGAAAAGAAACATTTACCATCTTATTTTGTGCTTTCTATTTTCCTCACCTTTTAATATTTCTTTTTTTTTACTTCTTTATTTCTTTTTTTACTTCCCTTGCCATCCTTTGGCAAGGAGAACCAGGCTTGGAGAATAAATGAAGCTGGGCAGCTAGGACCACATTAAAATTCATGCCTCTGACCCAGTCCAATAAGGATACAGGAGCCCTTCCCTCAAACACACACACACACACACACACACACACACACACACACACACACACACACACACACAC